AGCTTAGCATGTTGTGTGAATCAGTGTGTTTGTAGTGAGAACCACCAAGGTGTAGAACTGTGTTTTTCCAGCTTGGCAACTTTAAGATTTGTGAACTTCAACTCTTAGAATTGTCCAACCAGCATGCTGGCTGGGGAAATCTGGGAGTCAAAGTCCACACATCTTAATGTTACCAAGCTGGAAAAAAAACTGGTGTAGAAGTTAAGGTAACAGACTGAAGAAACCCAGGTTCAAGTCCACCCTCTGGCATTGTTATATTGAGTGCAGAGATAGTGTTGAAGAAGGCATGCAACAGCCATTAGATAAACATCAGCTTAGCCCTGAAAAGGAGGAAGAGTAAGAAGGAAATTCAAGATTGCCCTATCTTGAGTCTTATTGGTGTCAGAGAGGAGAGAGAGAATCTGTGTCAGGCTTGCAAGTTTCTGTTACTGTACCCTTTAATAATAGAGTTCTAGCTGTTCTTGCAGTTTCCTGGTCTGGCCTACCTCAAGGGGCTGACAGCCATGGGAAACTCTCTGAGTAACTTCAGGCCAGTCATCTTCTTTCAGCCCAACCTACCTCATAGGGTTGTTGTTGTGGGAATAAAATGAAAGAAGATTCCTTATGTAAGCTACGTAGTTGGTGAATTCTTTTGGTCTGGCTTTGATATGGCTCCAAGAGCTCCAATTACTATTGTATTATAGCTGACATTTTCTTCCAAAGTCTGTCAACTTCAGTTCACAAATCTTGGTATTTTGTTACTTCTTTCATGTGTTTTTTGTCAGTTTGACTCTTTCCTGGTATTGCTGTATCTATGATCCACATTTTTTTTCAATAATAGTAATGTCTGGTGTGTTGGTTTTCAAGTATCTATCAGTCTGTATTTTAAAATCCCACATGATCTTGACTTCATTTTCTAAGACGACTTCAAGTACGTAATCTCAGTAGTTTTTGTTAACAGTAAAATTAAACTTTCTATATAAATTCAAATGTGTGCTATTTGCAATTCTATCAATGTATTAGAATTATTGCTGTTATTTAGAGCCACTGTAGTTAGCTTATGGTTCTGTATGTTGCTGAATCCACTCAGGTTAATTCAGTGAGCCATGATTAAGCCATGGAGTGCAAATTCAACCCATATGCTAAACCATAAACTGCATACCTGAAGCTTAGTATTTCATGGGACTTTGGCTTGGTTGTGTGAGCCCAGTCTTTGTGCTCTACAAACAGCAGCTTGTTTATCATACCAATCCAGATTTATTGTTTATTATTATTGTTTAATATGGTATATGGATTTGGTATTAAGTGCCATGTTACCATGTCTCATGACTTGAACCTAAAACATGGACAGTTTTTTTTTCTAGGACTAGATTCTTCATCTTTGACCTGGCAATTTCCAGAGACACTGGGACTGTATTTCCCAGAATTCTTAGCCATTCCTTAGGTATCTTGCTTCCATCCTATTTAAGGCATTAAAAGTTTTGTTACCAGGCACCCTGCATAGTGCCTGAAAACAATATAACACTAATTCTTGAAGTAGAAAGTGTAATAGATGCAGCTTTTTCTCTTACCTTCAATAGCAAGCTGCTATCAGATAATTGTTCATATTACTCCAAATTACTTACCACTTCACTCCACCCAGAGGTGGAGATAGAAGTTGTTAGGATAGCTTGGCTTCCAGCCTGTGAGTAGGCTGCTCAACTTGCCCCACTGAAAAACTGGGGGTGGAGTGAGAGAAGGACAATATCCAGCAGCTCAGGTCTCTTTGGCAGTCTCCTTGGTATTGAGCAACAGCCAAGAGATTGCTCCTTTGGTTCTCTGCAAGTCCTGGGTGCTTGACCTGAGCATCACAGCCTAGTGTGCTGTTCCTGTATACCTGATCTGCACTAGGGCTGGATGACTGAAGGCTGCTAGTCCTGGACAATGCTGGCTTTCTGTTGCTCCCAGATTGTGCTTCTATTTCTCTTGCTGAAAGGTGGGTAGCCAGGACAGAAAGTGCTTTTTCTTTCTTTCTTTCTTTCTTTCTTTCTTTCTTTCTTTCTTTCTTTCTTTCTTTCTTTCTTTCTTTCTTTCTTTCTTTGTCTGTCTGTCTGTCTGTCTGTAGAGGTGTCTTTGATAGTTGTAGGGATGGTACTTGATCACCTAGATTAGTGTTGGAGAGTACAGAAACAATCTCTGCTCCATTTGAGCCACCAATTTTTGTCTTGAAAAGTAAAGATTCAACACAACTAGGTTATCTGAGAAGGTGGTAAGAAAGATGAAAATATTTGGGAGAAATATGAGAATTTGGCTAACTACAGCAAGGAGATGTAAGAGCAAGGAATGTCCTAGGCTTGCCAGGTGAGCTTCAAAATCTGAGACATCAGAAAACGATGCTTCTGACGACGATGAGAAGTAGATGTGGATTCTTCCAGTGCATGAGAATGGGGAGATCTGGAGGCTGATATTACTTAGCTCTAGGTACCAATTTCACCCTCAGCCAGGACTTCTGTGCCTTTTTCAGTGGTGTAGCTAGCAAAACTTCCAACAAGTATTGCTTTTCTCCTGGTTAAAAAAGTATTCCTGCAGAAGAAGAAAACAATTGCAATATTCCATTTGTCAGAATACAGGTAGTAATCCAGCTGTGTAAGGAAAATGTGTATGCATGTAGATTCCTGCACTGAGAATGCAGATGGGTTTTATATTCTCTCCTTGTGGCCATTACATAGCAACTTATCACTTTGATGCATTATACAATTAGAATGGTGACAAATTACTGGACTGAAACAGTTTGTGTGTCTGTGGGCTCATGGCAAGCTTGAGTTACTGCTCTGTTCCTATTTCTGTAACAATATGCTAAAGAGATCAGATTTGCTGCTTATCAGTCTTCAGAGAAAGATCCATTACAGTTACTGACCAAGGAATTTCCTTAGTGGCATATCTTTTACTGGCCTGGCTTTACTTGCAATGCTTCAGGCCTAGACTCGGTTACATTTCCCTAGTAATCAGGTTTGGGAAATATCTGTGTAGGCTTTTGATAGAACATGTTTGGTGAGTCAGAACAATGCAAACCCATGCCATCTGATCTCCTCTTGTGTAAGCCTTTTGGATCAAAAACAACCAAGAGGTTTGTAGCGTGGATCATATATACTCACAGATATTGTTGGGAGAAGAAATGGTAAGAGGAGAGGTGACAGTGTAAATTAACCAAACATTGAGATCATTAACCAAAGAATAGCTGTGACATAGTCATTCTTTCATCAATGAGCTGGTTAACACATGCAGAGAATCTTCATAGAAGATGCTTAATCTTTTTACTGAGATAACATCTTTTCTGGCTTTGCATAATAAGCTAACCAAATAGCTAACCAGATTTGGGTTCTCACAACCCAAAGCCACTAAAAAAAATAAACAAAACCAACATTAACACTAACCAAGCTTATCATATTATATCTGTGAGTACTAGGTCTTTGACTGACCCAGTTAAACATTTTATTTTAACATGGTCATGTTTAACCCATTCGATATGATGGTATAGATCGTAAAGAATTATTATTCAGCTGTTTTGGAGTAAAAGTAGTTTTATAATTCTTTTTTTCCTCCAAGAATGGCAACCTTGCTGTTGATGACAGTGTGTTTTGGGAAGTCAAAATATTTACCTACTGTTCTTTGGCTATCTAACTCCTGATCTCTAGCTTCTAATAGTAATAGTCTCTCATTCCATCACTCTGACTCCATCATTTGTTGTGTTTTTAGGTGTGGAAAATACTGATGCTCAAAAAGGTAAGAATACACTTGGATAAAGGACAATCAGCCATAACTAATAATGGGGAAGGAAGGCCTAGAGAAGGGATAGTGAATAACTTTCAGTGTTATAAATAAGCCTACGCATATACTAATTGAAAAAATGGACATTTCTCTATTCACACTTTTTTAGGCTTCTTTCTTGTGATAAGTTTTAGGTTATGGCCAGGAGATGAAGAGTGTGACAGTGTATAAATGTTCTTTAGTTTATTAGGAAATGCCTACATATTTCAGTTTCCTTTTTCCAACCATCTGTGATGGTTCACTTGGTGCAAAAACTGACTCATTTGCAAGATAAGTGTAACAGTATGGGGATGGGTGGCTATATAAATTGATTTAATAAATAAATAATATGCTTCAATATAGGGCAGAGATAGTCATGAAAAGGAAGAGTGTGTATATATACAGAGAGAGAGAGAGATTAAACATGGGCACACTTGCAAATGCAGTGTAGGGTGGGGACTGAAGATTTCCATGTGGGCAAATCAGTTGTACATGGATGAGAAAAGACCCACATCTGCTGTATAAAGAGAGTGAAAATCTGGCCAGGCTGTGTATGGATGCTGTGCACCTTATAGGCCTCTTGTGCATGTTAATGAACATATGTGAGAGCCAGGTAGGTAATACAGTCGTGTGTGTGTGTGTGTGTGTATGTATATCCTCTCTATGTTATAAATGCTAGTCTTCATTTAATTCCACTGTTTACATCTTTGTATACTGTTATGTGTGGCACAGAACCTATGAATATTGCTGAACTAGAAATCCAGCATCCCTTATAATTGGCCATGATGGTTAGGGATATTGGGAGCCGTAGTTTAGCAACATTTGGTGGCTGCCTCCATCTATCTATTGTTGCTTGATCTACACTCATCTACCCACATTCTTTCTACAGCTTTTTCTTTCTATCTAGTCTTAGGTGTAATTTGTTTTGATGTAATTATGTCTAGTTATGACTCATCCTACTCTGTAAACTCAAGGCAGTTGTCAACAAGATCTAAAGTAGAAAATACATTACACTTGGCTAAGTAAACACAAAATGTTTTTAAACAGCAGTAGATGATCTGGTAGCCTTTAAATATATTTCCCCTCATTCCCAGCTAATGGAATGGCAAGGGATTAAAAGAGTTGCCTAAAACCCCTGGAGGAGACACCAGTTTGCCTATTTGTCTCTAACCATTTTTCAAAGATGTCTGGAGGCCCCAGATATTCTATCATTATGAAACTACCTTGAGAACATCTATTTTTTTCTATAAGCAAAGGGTTTCCTGCTGGCTGTAGATAATTGCTGACATATTCAGGTATGTATTTAACATATTTGATATGGAGCCCATCAAGTGGTTTGTTTGAATGTATTGTTGTCACCAGGGATGGGGCTGTAGTGGGTTTGTATTTGGGGTTTTATTTCTGTAAGCTGCCCAGAGTCACTGTGAGTGAGTTGGGCGGCCATATAAATTGCTTAAATAA